AATCAATCAATCAATCAATCAAACCCCTTTTTTTTTTTTTTTTTTTTTTTGGCATCCGCATTTTTTGAAAACACCTCACACTTCTGCAAAAAATATGAATTCATTTCTAAAAAAATACAGGTAAACTCACGGACCATATATCTCATGATAAAAAATGACCAAAAAAAAATTTTGTTTTTCTCTTTATATATATTTTTTAATTTTTTTAAATCCAATTTCGTTTTTGATTTTTTTAAAATCTTAAATAAAGTCGGATTCAAAAATATATATATATGGGAATGTAGGGCTCAAAATTCCCTACAACCCCATTTTTTTTTTTTTTTTTTACCTATTATTTAATTCAGGAAAATTCGTGTAAAATCGGGTCTGCGGTGCGGACCAGGTAGACCGCGGATGCGGACCCATTTGGGTCCGCGATCCGAGCTCGACCCCGCGGAGGCGTCCGCGGGTGTTTCCCTGTAAGGGAGCAGGGGTTCCCTTCTACGGGGTCAACGGCGCGATCGACGTCCAGGCGGAGCTCCGGGTTACCTTTTGCTTCTGAGGGAATGCAACAACGGGTTCTACGTCGAGCAAAGAAGAAGAGACTCAGATAAGGGGCGACAAGAAGGAAGATTCAGGTGAGCCAGACGAATAGCTGTGAAGGATGGAAGATATTGTTGGAATTTTTGGAATGTCGGAAATGGTGTCGAGTGAGTAAGAAGGCGAAATAGCTCAAACCAATGGTGGAGAGGATTCTGAGAAATGCGATTCTTCTGTTGATTCTTGAGAACGAGGTGATATGGGGGAGGAGATTCGTTGAATGTTGTTGGGAGATCTTTGAGAATGAGAGAGAGGGTTGGAAGAACCCGAAGTCATGTGTGTATGCTCTTGTTAACCCATGGTGTAAGTTGACTTACATAAGGAAGACTGAGCGTGCGTTGAGTGAGCGATGGGCAGAGCACGTCGGAAGGACGCTGGGAAATGAATGGGGGAAGAACAAATTGCACTCCTGGCTTCGAAAATGGGGTTTGAAATCTTACATAGCGATCCCAGTGGCGATCGTGGAGAAGAAGGACTTGGAAGGGTTAGAAGCGAGACTGATTAAACGATGGTGCCCTGTGCTAAATACGAGTGGGTGGAGGGATGGAAGAAACAGGAAAGTGTCGAAGAAGAGAGGAAGAAAAGGAAGAAGGGAACGTAAAAGGGAGCGAGCTGTCTGGTTCGATAAGGAGAAGGTGCTGAAGTTTTCGTCGGAAGGGTTGACCGGGGTTGCTAAGTTGACCGACACGATCACCGCAATCAAAGGGAAACGAAGGAGGGACGTCGTGTCGAGTGGAGGGAAGATCTGGGCAGAAGATTGGGGAGTGATTAAAAGGAGGTTCGGCGAGTCGGACCTACTTATCAGGGAGGAGGCAACGAAGTTGAAGAAAGCTAAAGTTCTTTTCGAAGAAGGAGGTACTATTCATTTCGTAAGAATAAGGGAGAGAAAACCGAGCGATCCGAAGCTAGTACAGCAACTTCACCAACTGTTGCGATGCCCTTGGAAGAGAAATAAGCTGGGAACGCTCGGGTTGGAGGAGCTGGCCGTCTTGTTTCAGAATATCAAGACCTTCTCAAGGAAGTCGACAAGGAAGACTCTAAAGGCGATAGTAGACGGGGTGGTCAAGAAGAAGTTCAACGTGTCATTGCGGAGAAGACTAGTGGTTGGAGCAAAGTATGACGAAAGGATACCGAGGGCTGAAGTTAGGAAGAAATTAGTGGGTAAGATAAAGCAAGGGTGCAGCTCTGAAACTGAGGCAAGGATACGATGTCAGAAGCTCAGACTGGTCTGGCGGAAGAACCAGACAGTCGATGATCTTCTTCATAGCCATTGACGAGCGAGTCGTCAGATGGCATTGGTCAGCTGTTGTGCAAGCCTCGATCTCCCCCGTCAGGGGGAGCACGTGTCCTTTCGCCTAAGTTCAAGGGCTGATGTTGATCCTAGGGTGATGAACTCAAAGAACGTCGTGCAAGATTGTGACAGTCGAGAAGATGACCGGAAGCTGTGCCGCGAGATGAATGACGAGATGGTAAAAAACGTGATAGAGTCAGTATGGACCATCCAGGAGGCAAGGAGTTGTATGAGGGAACGGAGGGACAGGAAGGATGGTATGCTTGATGTAATCGAGGAAGTAAAAAAGAGATGGAGTGGTATGATTTTCTGTCCACTAGATAAGAACTCAGCGGAGACGTTGGTCGTCTATCCAGCGATTTACGAGAGAGGAATGAAGGAGAGCTTTTGGGAGAACGAGGCTTTCGAGGCAGTCTGGCGGGAGGACGATGAGGTGATGGCGAAGGCTATGAAGGATTACGAGGGACGAGGATTGAAGAGAATCGGGAAATGGAACAGCAAAGGATCTTGGGGCAAGGCGTACATCTTGTCAAAGCACAAGGATGTATCGAGGTCAAGGCCGATTTCGCCATCGTTCAGCGAACCGGCAAGGACGGCGAATCAAAGGGTCTCCAGATCTTTGAATTTTCTCTTGAATTCCTTGCCAATTAACGATCATTTTAATTTGAAATCCACATGCCAGTTAAAAAGAAGGTTAGAAAGGGTTAACAAATGGGCAGGGAAGAAAGGACAAGGGGAGATCGTCGGGGCAGCCTACGACATTAAAGAAATGTTTAGTAAGCTGCCCCACGATACAGTAAGACGGACAGTGAAATGAATTCTGGCCTTTTTTGAAAAGAAAGGAAGAGATTTTGTTATGGTAAGGACGAGAAGGAAGGGTGCTTCGTTCGGAAACAAGAAAGATGAAATGGGTGGGTAAGAATAAACTTTGACTTGATTCAGGTGATGGTTGAATTTGATTTGGACAACACCTTTCTGTGGGCATCCGAAAGACTAAAAAAACAGAAGGAGGGCATTCCTATGGGGAAATCGAGCAGCCCTCCCATTGCGTGCATTTTGTGTGCGTTTTTTGAGTCGAGATTTTCGGAAAGTTTTGGGAAAGAAGCGGGAATGGTGAAAGGGATAAGGTTAGCAGATCATGTGTCACTTTTTGTTTGGAAGGATTGGGATTCGAAAAAGAAAAGGAAGGCGGAGGAGATCATCAGGAAGTTTGAAAAAGCCTACGACAGGAAAACATGACGTGTCACTTTTTTTTTTTTTTTTTTTTTTTTT